TACCTTTTCGCGAAGAGTTTCCAATACGAGAAGTGCTCTTTCACAAGGAGCTGTCCTAAGACTCATTGACATGTATTGCATCTATGGCCAGCTCATCTTCAGCTCAAACACTTGTAAAGTGGCTCAAATGATGAAAGGTTACCTTCCACATAATGTGACCTTTCATGACAAGTTGCTACACATTGAAGGCCATGACACCTAGATGCATGTTGGAAGCCAAGTCACGCCTAGTTGCTGCCATATTCATTCCATGGACTTCAAGACACCATCCTATGGTTGTAACATAACCAAAGCCTTGCAAGAAGACCCATGTGCGTTCAAGTAGGCTGCCATGTGCATCATTCAAGCATGTGCACTCCATGTGACATCAAATTGGCGCCAAAACACCAAGGGATACTTCCTATTAGGCCAAAGACTCTTTACTCTTCATTTTGGAGCCCAAATAACTTCCAAATGCATTCAAATCAACCTTAGGGACAAACCAACACATAACCATTCGGCCAAGAGCATGTATCTTCATTTAAATCATGTATTTTTATCAAAAATCATGTATTTTCAAAGGGGTTTCAACCTTGGCCGAACCATCAAGTATCTATTCGGCCTAAACCCTTTGAAAACTACAAATAGGCTATTGCATTTCATTTGTAACTCAACCCTTTGATCAATTAAAATCTCATTGTGAGATATTTCTCTCTTCAAGTTCTTTTTAGAACTATATCGATTAAGCAAGCTTTCTAAAGTTTGTGGCGTCATTCCTTCCCTTGATACCTCTAGTTCCTATCTCCTATAGATAGAGGGTCAAAGTCCTTAATACCATCCCTTATAACGACTTATAAGAAACGGGTCTTTGCTCCTTTATAGCATTGGTTCCTTCTTAGTCTTATAAGATACTATCTATTCATTACCACCTTCCATCATCACTATCATGCCAACTCCATTCCATTAATATTTCCATCACCATTATCCATATCCATTCACACCCATATAATCATCCTTCATCATCAACAAGGCATTCGTCCATTTACCACCATTGGAGGCCGAATCCATCATCACTTGAAGGATCATTCTACAACACTTCCGCAGCCCTTCTTTGATAACTATTCTATCCATTTCAATTCTTTCCATTTCCTTTCTTAATTATTCATTTACTTAACCAATTATTCTTCTTTTGTGCAGATTACTTTTCAATTCAAGGCGTAGCATTTGGTGTCTCTCCTAGATCGGGAAATAACAAGGTTGTCATCTTCTCCAATATTGAAGAAGCCTGGTTAGCCTTACATCAAGCGGTAATCAGAGCTTTGGTGGATTGACATTCAAAGTGCTACAACAAAAAGCAACGAGAAAGAATAAAAGAAAAGAAAAGACTCCTACAATAAATTTGGAGTGCAAAAGAAAGAAAAGAAAAGAAGAAAATTCAAAGCAAAAGAAAAAGTGAAGCAAAGTTGCAAAGTACACTCAAAGAGAAGCATATTACAATCTGCCCAACATCAAACTTAAAGGAGGTATCCTTGTTGTTTCTTGTGAAATAAGATAGTAAGTGTTGCAACTTGAGTTGTAAGTTATCTTCATTTTTTTATCATTTCATTTCTTTATTCTTTCATCTTTTCTTATTTCATTACCATATTTTTTTCTAAACCTTTTTCTATACTACCCTTATCATAACCATTTTCTATTCCTAACCATTCTAAACCGACGCACAAACTAAAGAAACTTGCTTAATCTTGAGTTAGTTCTTAAGAAGGACCCACAAGAGAGAATTGAGCGGTAAAAGGCAAACGAGAGGGTGAAATCAGAAGGGGGATCAGAAAAGCCAAGAATATATCCCTGAGTGCAAACACGAGTATGAGTGAGTGACATTTTAATTTCTTTGGAGTGTTACTGTGAGGTTTTGTGAGAGTGTTCTTGGTAAGGTCCTTTTACACATTTTCATTCTTTATTGCACTGACAATTTCTCAACTTTTCAATAACGTATGAATAGCAAAGAATGAATGCATTTCACACTCGTTGCCATATAGATGGTAAACTGTGTCTTGTAGCTATTGACGGAGGAAGTTGTGCAAATCTTGCAAGCACATACATGGTCACGAAATTGGGACTTACAACATTCAAACATCCCAGTCCATATGATTTGCAAGGATTAAATGAAGATGAAGAGTTAGAAGTCACAAAGCAAGTTGTCATCCCGTTTTCAATCGACAAATATCAAGATGAAGTTCTTTGTGATGTTGTACCAATGGATGCTGGACATATACTTTTGGGAAGACCGTGGCAATTCGATAGACGAGCAATCCATGATGGGTTTACAAACAGATTTTCTATAACCCATAATGGCAAGAAATTCACTTTGACGCCACTTTCTCCTAGTCAAGTGAATGAAGAGCAACACCATTTGAAGAAAAGAAGGGAATCATTCAAAACGTTGAAATTAATGAGAATCAAAGAGTAGATGAAGAAAACATTGGAGTTGAAAATGAGAAAGATAAATTTGGGGAAAAAGAGGAGAGTGAAGAACAAATTTTATCTAACCTTTCTTCTTTCTATTTTGCAGGGCAATTTCAGAGACGTATCTTTTCAAGGTGATGATTCAAGAATCATGGCTTTTGGAGGACTAAAAGATGTGACTTTTGAAGAACAAATAGTTGTTACTTTTGGTGGTCAACAAAACATATCTCTTGATGTTTCAAAGATAACGTCGTTTGAAGTTCCAAGAGAAGCGTCACTTGAAGTGCCAAGAGTTGTGTTCGTTGAAATTCCAAGTGCATTGCCAATTATGAAAAGAATTCAGCAACCAACTCCCATTAAACATCCGCCCTGGTTTGATATGTCCATTCATCTTGTCAATAGTTTTTCATTTACTTATTTTGATTCATTTTGCAGCAATTCAATTCATATCTGTGGCATTATCTTATCAATTTGTGATGACAAGGATGATTCAAAAGACACAATTTGTCAAGGGAAAGAGTCAAGAGACGTGAATCATAAAGGCTTAATGGACGTGACCCTTCAAGAGCATAAAATCATGAATTTTCATGATCCAATGGACATGACTTTTGGGATGCCAAGGAACATGATCATTCAAAGCAACATGTCTTCAACATACATGATTTTTAACCAACCATCAAACACCAACATGAAGTACAATTTTCCTTTATTTGTATTTAATCATGTTTTTACTTATGAGAGTTATCTTTCTTTTCAGGTCATGTACGTTCAAAGCACTTATTCAAAGGATATGACTTATGAAAACAATCATTTCATAAAGATCCATGTTGCATATATCGAATGGGAGGACACTAAGGAGAAGTCACCTTTCGATTTGAGGACAAATCGCTCAAAAGAAGGGGAGGATGATGTGATCCTGTCTAGCTCCAAATTTCTCCATGATTTGATCACACCATGGAGGCTATTCGAATCTGGTTCTAAGGGAGTTCTACCATACTTTATCTTATATTTACTTGTTTATGCACTATATATTATTATAAGCATACAATTTCATATTATACTATGCTTGAATTATCATAACATGTGCATTCATTCATTATGTCCTATAGTTTGCATCATTGATTGATATTCATGCATATAATCTATAGTTGTAATAATAATATTCATTCATTATCGTATGATGCATGAGTTATTATTATAACCTATAGTTCACATCTTTATAATATGCACATTCTTATTACTTTATGTGCTTTCTTTTGTAGGTGCATGTTCAGCCACATGTTGGGAGCTGATTTAAAGTTAGCATGGGAGTCAATGAGCTAGGAAAACTTCCATAAGATGACAAGGGAAATCATGAAGAACAAATGATGAAAAGTTGTCAGCTGACCTCCGAGCTCATAGCTTACTTGAGCTGGATTTTTGAGCTAGCTAGAGACTTCTTTTCAGCTGGAGAGTTGCACCATCATCTTCACCACATAGAGCACTATAAATATGGTCTAGGTCGAATTTTGTGACTTCGTACCTTTTCGTGAAGAGTTTCCAATCCGAGAAGTGCCCTTTCACAAGGAGCTGTCTTTAGACTCATTGACATGTATTGCATCTATGGCCAGCTCATCTTCAGCTCAAACACTTGTAAAGTAGCTCAAATGATGAAAGGTTACCTTCCACAAAATGTGACCTTTCATGACAAGTTTCTGCACATTGAAGGCCATGACACCTAGATGCATGTTGGAAGCCAAGTCACGCCTAGTTGCTACCATATTCATTCCATGGACTTCAAGACACCATCCTATGGTTGTAACATCACCAAAGCCTTGCAAGAAGACCCATGTGCGTTCAAGTAGGCTGCCATGTGCATCATTCAAGCATGTGCACTCCATGTGACATGAAATTGGCGCCAAAACACCAAGGGATACTTCCTATTAGGCCAAAGACTATTTCCTCTTCGTTTTGGCGCCCAAATAACTTCCAAATGCATTCAAATCAACCTTAGGGCCGAACCAACACATAACCATTCGGCCAAGAGCATGTATCTTCTTTTAAATCATGTATTTTCATCAAAAATCATGTATTTTCAAAGGGGCTTCAACCTTGGCCGAACCATCAAGTATCTATTCGGCCTAAACCCTTTGAAAACTATATTTAGGCTATTGCATTTCATTTGTAACTCAACCCTTTGATCAATTAAAAACTCTTTGTGAGATATTTCTCTCTTCAAGTTCTTTTTAGAACTATATCGATTAAGCAAGCTTTTTAAAGTTTGTGGCGTCATTCCTTCCCTTGATACTTCTGGTTCCTATCTCCTATAGATAGAGGGTCAAAGTCCTTAATACCATCCCTTATAACGACTTATAAGAAACGGGTCTTTGATCCTTTATAGCATTGGTTCCTTCTTACTCTTATAAGATACTATCTATTCATTACCACCTTCCATCATCACTATCACGCCAACTCCATTCCATTAATATTTCCATCACCATTATCCATATCCTTTCACACCCATATAATCATCCTTCATCATCAACAAGGCATTCGTCCATTTACCACCATTGGATGCTGAATCCATCATCACTTGATGGATCATTCTACAACACTTCCGCAGCCCTTCTTTGATAACTATTCTATCCATTTCAATTCTTTCCATTTCCTTTCTTAATTATTTACGTAACCACTTATTCTTCTTTTGTGAAGATTACTTTTCAATTCAAGGCGTAGTATTTGGTGTCTCTCCTAGATCGGGAAATAACAAGGTTGCCATCTTCTCCATTATTGAAGAAGCCTGGTTAGCCTTACATCAGATACAATATCTCCATTGTCAAGCAACATCATGGCATTTCGGTTGGGACATTGACTAGCAACATGCCCTTTTCAAAAACACTTGAAACATTTGATATCTCTTGATCTCTCGAAAGTGCTGGTTTACTTTTCTTTACCCTTGCTAGATTTGCCCATTTGTATAATTTTGGGTACCTCTGTATGATCCTTTGATTGGACTGGAGTTTGTTTTCGGAAGGTAATAGGCTCTTGCTTCTATTTGGTGGTCGAATTTGGACTGCTCTGATTGTAGGTTTTCCTCTTAAGTTGTCGTTCAATTTTCAGTTCTACATGCACCATCTCTTCAATCTCTACATAATGCTGAAGTTCAACAAGGTAAGCAATATCAATATTTAGGCCAGATAAGAACCTTGCCATTGTTGCTTCTCTATCTTCATCCACATTGGCTCGGATCATAGCTATCTCCATTTCTTTGAAATAATCTTCAACGCTCTTGCTTCCTTGTTTCAAGTTTTGTAGTTTATGATAAAGATCTCGGTGATAGTGAGTAGGCACGAACCTTTTCCTCATAATGGATTTCATTTCTTCCCATGTAGTGATGGGGCGTTCACCATTTCATATTCTTGAACTTACCAATTGATCCCACCAAACTAAGGCATAATCCACGAATTCCATAGCAGTAAGCCTGACCTTCTTTTGTTCCGTATAATTTTGACATTCGAAAATGTGTTCGATTTTGATTACCCAGTCTAGATAGGCTTCAGGATCTGTTCATCCTTGAAATGGAGGAATGGTCACTTTAATGTTGTTGAAGTTGTCATTCTGATTTCTATGAACATCTCTTCTTGCTACTGATGTTACTTCAGCCTCCTCCTCTTCTAATTCTTCTTCCATTCTAGGGCGGTTTACTCTCCGGTTGCCTAAGGATGCTTCTAATTGATCCATATGATCTTGCAAAGGCTCCAATTCTAATTTCAGTAATCTTGCCATTTCATGCATAATGGCTTGGGTTTGCAAGTTAGGGGCTTCTCTTTCTGGTGATCGTCCTGAACTCCGAGACATGGTTAGCAAATAAGAAAAGAAAAAGATTTGTAAAAGACCTTACCAGAATATACTCTCACAAAGCCTCACGAGTCACTCCAAGAAAAATTGATGTCACTCAATCAACTCGTGTTTTCACTCTAGGACTTTAATGGCTTTTACTTGTCCTCTTCTGATCTCACACACTTTCCAGCCTTTTTCCTCTCGATTCTCTTGTCTCAAGTTCTAGAGAACTTTACTCAAGACTATATCAAGTAAATTTTACTTGTTTGGCGTCGGCTGCAAAAGAGTTAGTAGGAAGGGAAAAATAAATATAATGAAAGGGTGGCTTAGAAATAGAAAGAAGAGAAACAAAAGGGTTACTTACACAAGTCACTTCACAACCTTCTATCACCACAATCAATTTAAACGGCTTACTTGACTTGCTTGGTGATGAGAATTGTTAATGAGTGCTTCAACTTTCTTTATTTTCTTTTCTTTTCTTTTCTTTGTTTTTCTTCTTTTTGAATGTTGAATTTCTTTCTTTCTTTTGGAGTGCTTCAATTTCTTTTCTGATTTTCTTTGTCTTTGACTTTGCACTTCACTTGCACTTTTTTTTTTGTATTTTTCTTTTTGTTGTTGTTGCACGTTGCTTCTTCCACCAAAGCTCTGATTACCGCTTGATGTAAGACTCTTCTGATGCCTTAATAATTGATTGTGGATCTAGGAAGGAAGCAAAACAACCTGCAAAGTGAATGGCTCAAAACATAATGGTTAAGGGTGGTAAATGTATGGGTGATTAGGTGGACTATTTAATTGAGAGATGGAAGCGGAAGATGGTTGATATGGCTATGGTTATGGTTTATGAAACAAATGGATGGTTGCGAGGATAGTATCTTAAAGAAGACTCAAAGAAGAACCAATGCTATATAGAGCAATGACCCATACTTTATATTGCTTCTTTAAGGGGTGGTATGAAGTACTTTGACCCACTAGTTATAAAGAACTAGGAACCAGAAGTATCAAGATAAAAAGAAAGGGGTTGACGCCACAAGTATAAATTATACTTGATAAATCGATAAAGTCACCAGGACTTAAAGAAGAGAATAATCTCACTTTTTAATTAAACAAAAGGTCTGATTACAAATCATGAATGCTTTCCTATTTATAGGAAATGGAGAGACATGGACGAATAATTACAAGGAGATTCAGCCAGCCTTGTTCCTTCATAAAATGACAATTTAATTCATAAATAACTTGAATAAATAGGTGCTGGTTCAGTTGAAGTGTAGGGGTATGTCTCATGGCCGAATAGCTCTTGAAACCCTTCAAGTTAGCGCCTAAATGAACCATATGCAAGGCACATGGGGGCTGATCACATGCAAAACACATGGCTTGGCCGAATAGGGAGAGAACTCTTCATCTTGGCGCCTAAATGATCCACATGCAAGGCACATGGGGGCTGGTCATATGCAAGGCACATGGGTGTTCTAGGAAGCCTTGTGGTGCAGCCTTGTGCATGGAATGATGGCTTGTCATGCTCTCTCTCTCTCTTGGGCGTGCATGTGTCTCCTTCAAGCTAGCTTGAGTTGTGGAGCTAGCTAGCAAACATGGGCTGTTTGTGAAAAAGCTTCCTAGCTAAGTCCTTATGAGCTCCTCAACATTATGTTCAGCTACATTCAGCTACCTTTGACATCACTTTTGGCAACTCAGCTCCAAATAGTCCAACTAGCTAAGTTTAGCTAGCCTTAAGCTCCTCCAGCTGAATCGAGCTTCCCTTAGTGTTCCATGAGCTGCCTTGTACTTTGTAAGCTGCTTGTGAGCTGCATATGACGTCCAAATCATTCACCAAGCTACCTCAACGTGCATCATGCTCCAATGTACCTACATGTGCAAGGAAACAAGGTAAGTCCATGATATTGAGCTAAGACGAGCTAAATACCTTGCTTCCATGTTTGATTATGGTAATGTGACCTAAGTTTGAAGGCCATGAGCTAATTATATCATCTCATAATATGTGTAAGATTATGCATGAGGCTTAAGAGTTAATATGAATGCATATGAACTAACGAAATGCATTATAAGTATGTTGCCTTGATGTATAAATAATAATTATGCTTAATATGTTTATAAAGCTATCCTAACATGCTTAATTATTCTTTAACTTCATAACTGATATCCTTAGAATGATATGTATTATAATAGTATATATTATAAAGCTAGTATAAAGTGAATGCATTATAAAGATGTTCAAGAATACTCCCTTTATAGTTGAAAACGTGCTTGTATCAACTTCCATATCCTTTGAAGATGGCATTGGTGTGCTCACATCAATTTGACCCACTAGTTATATGAACTAGGAACCAGAAGTATCAAGGAAGGGATTGACACCACAAACTTTAGAAAAGCTTGCTTAATCGATATAGTTCTAAAAAGAACTTGAAGAGAGAATAATCTCATAAGATTTTTAATTTATCAAAGGGTTGAGATTTACAAATGAATGCCAAAGCCTATTTATAGATTTGTGTAAGCTTCGTCGAATATATGCATGCCTTTTTGGCGAAGTACATAATTTAAATTGAAAATGCATGATGTTCGGGTGAAAGGAAATATCCTTGGCCGAATGGTCTTCTTATGGTTCATCTTGGTGCCAACTTTGAAGCAATGCCTTACTTTGGCAGAATAGGGAGAAACCTCTTCACTTTGGCGCCCATTTCATCCACACGTATGCACATGTGTGGACTGGTCATGAGGCACTCACATGGGTGGTGTAGGATGCTTAAGGTGTGGACTCCTCCATGGCGTGAAGATGAGCAGCAAGTTAGGCTTGACTTGGCATCAAACATGTGTCTAAATGACGCGTCATCAATTGGGCAGCAACTAATTATGAAAGGTCACATTTGTGGAAGGTAACCTTTCATCATTTAAGATAGTTTCCAAGTGTTTGAGCTGGTCATCGATGAAGGACATGTGTATAAGTCTTAGGGCAGCTCCTTGTGAAAAGGCACTTATCGGAATGGTAACTCTTCGCGAAAAGGTACAAATCCACAAAATTTGTCCTAGACCATATTTGTAGTGCTCTGTGTGGTGAAGATGATGGTGCAACTCTTCAGCTGAATTGAGGTCTCTATCTAGCTCAAAAATCCAACTCAAGTGAGCTATGAGCTCGGGGTCAGCTGGCAACTTTGTCCCAAAATGATCTTGAGCTAACCCGAAGTTGTCCTAGTCAAGTTTCCATAGCTCTTGGACTCCAATGCTAGCTTTAAGTTAGCTCCCATCATGTGGTCACCTATGCACCTACAAAAGAAAGTATAATATAAGCTAAGTATTAAAAGTAAATAACTTATATTATAAAGATGTGAACTATGATTATAATAATAACTCATGCATCATATGATAATAAATGAATATTATTATTATAACTATAGATTATATGCTTGAATATCAATCAATGATGTAAACCATAGGACATAATGATTCAATGCACATGTTATGATAATTCAAGTATAGTATAATATGCCAATGTATGCTCATAATAATAGATAATGCATAAATGAGTAAATATAAGATAAAATAAGGTAGAACTCCCTTAGAACCAGCTTTGAATAACATCCATGGTGTGATCAAGTCATGGAGAAAATTGGAGCTAGATAGGATCACATCATCCTCCCCTTCTTTTAGGCGATTTGTCCTCAAATTGAAGTAGCTTCTCATTGAAGACCTTCTTGACGTAGGAAGGATGGAATCATTATGTTCTCCTCGAGAAGATTCTCCCAATGAAATGTTCAACCTCATTGTTCCATCTCGTTTGTGTTACTCTTGGAGTCCTCCTTGATGTTCTTTGAAAAAATCATATCCTTCACCGATGAAGAATGTCTTTTGGTTAATCTTTTTTGATGTGATCCTACCGACCACCAAGTTCAAACAAAACATGCTCACAACTTTGAAGTTCTTCCAAGTTGATTCTAAGGGAGTTCTTCCATATTTTATTATTTATTTACTCATTTATGCTTTATATGTGTTATAAGCATGTTTTTACGTTCTAAACTATCCTTGAATATTCATATATTATCCTATATTTGGATCCTATATGATATCCATGCATGTTACATCTTTAATTAGCTTGTTTCATGCATATGTTACACATTCCTTACTTATGTTATCATATAAATTGCATTATTATTTTAGCCATGGCATCATGTGTTACATTAGAATGTTACTTATTTCATATTCATTACCTTGAGCACTGTAACTTATATACATTTTGTATTTAGTACAAGGTGCATTCAAGGCAATCCAATGGACAGATTCACGTCACTCATAGAGATCGCCATTTTTTTTGACATGTTCCAAGCATCTTTGGGTGATGAAGTCTTCTTAACATTTACTCCCCTATCTCTTATCTTTCCAACGCACTCTAAATCGTATCAATCCAATATTGGTAGCTCAATATATGCCCAGATTAATTAAGACAATGCAGGCTGGAAATAAGTACGAGATTTACAACCAAATGAAGACCCCTGTTCACACCTGATGTATTTCCACCTTCCTGAATACATTTATGACGTGTACAATCATACAATGAGGCTAAAGGACTTGTTAACATTCAAGGGAGATGGATGCATTATTTTCAAACTCATTCACCAAATCGAAGTGCATGAAGGGAGCCTATGAGTCACGTTCACACTTGGTGCATACATTCCGAAGGGGGCCGAACATACAATGAAACATTCCTCCAAATTCATGTAAGGAAATGAACCAACATGTTCACATCAAGAGAGGATGAATTTGGCTATGAAGATGTATTCACTTAAATGGATGAACATTCATTTATTTTATTAGTCCATGAACTTGCATAGGGGACGTATATTGTATCTATTTAAGGATGAACATTCATCCATGAATGTTCAATTATTAAATCTTGTATGTACATCCTAGACATATCTTAGGCCTATAAATAGCTTCCCATTTCATTTGTAAGAACGAATTCACTTTGTTTAATCAAATATTTGTGAGAGTTTCTCTCTTTAGTTCTTAAGTGAACTTTATCGACTTATCAAGCTTATGCTTGTGGCGTCACCCCTATCTATGTTACCCTGATACTTCTAGTTCCTATCTCTTTATAGATAGTGAGTCAAAGTCCTTGTTTAACACCCCTTAAAGAAGCAATATAAAGTCTGGGTCTTTGTTCTTTAACATTGGTTCTTCTTTGAGACTTCTTTGAGATACTACTTTTCATATTCATCTCCATCACCTTCATTCTACTTCCATTACCATATTTCATCATTTCCTTTAAACATATCACCAACTTATATATATTTTCCGCTGCCATATTTATCTTTCCATTTCATTACTTCCATTTAACTATTTTTTAGCTTTCCTGTTTGTGCAGGATCCTTGTTGCTTTCCTAGATTGAAACAATCAAAGGTACAACCTTGACTTCACCATCCACCCAAGTGAGGCTAGGTTGAACAACATCAAATGGTAATCAGAGCTAAGGTGGGTTGCAACAAGAACAAGCAAAAGCAACATCCTACCATTCAATAAAAAGAAAATCAAAAAGAGAAGTGCAAAAAATAATCAGCAAGTTAATCCAAACATCAACAAGGGATTCCAAGTGAAGAAAAACTAAAGAAATGAAACAAAGAAAGAAAAATGCAAAGAAGTGCCAAAGGTGACAAGTAACATCATCATTCCAACCGATCATAAAGAAGTCTTCAAGACCTTTGATTGTTTCTTCTAGGAAGGTGGTGAGTATCTTTGCATAGTAAGTGAACCTTTCTTTATTTTTCTTCCTTTTATAAGACCACCCTTCATTATTTAATCTTTCTACCTTTCTATTTTTTTCCTCTACACTAACAAATTTTTCAGCCCACGTCCATAGCACTTGAAAGGTCTCGAGTTAGTTTTTTAAGAACTTTACAAGAGAAGAAAGAGTGGTAAAAGGCTAATTGAGTGTGTGAGATCAGAAGGGGAATTGCAAAAGGCAATTTATATTCCCAAGTACAAACACGAGCGTTGAGTGGAGCATCATCATTTTTTTTGAGTGATCGTGAGGATTTGTGAGTGATTATTGGTAAGGTCCTTTCATCTTATTCAACTATTAATTTTTCACTAACAATTCTCCCATCTTTCGAATGGAATACGAACAGCAAATGAGGAATCCATTTCATACTCGTTTTCATGTGAATGATAAAGTATGCCTTGTAGCCATTGATGGTGGAAGTTGTGCAAATCTTGCAAGCACATACATGGTTGAGAAGTTGGGGCTTATAACATCCAAACATCCCAGTCCATATGTTTTGCAAGGATTAAATAAAGATGAAGAGTTAGAAGTCATAGAGCAAGTACTTATGTCATTTTCAATTAGGAGATATGAAGATGAGGTCTTGTGTGATGTTGTTTCCATGAATTCAAGCCATCTTCTCCTCGGACGTCCTTGGCAGTTTGATAAACGAGCATTGTATGATGGGTTCTCCAACAAATATTCATTCAAACACCAAGGGAGAAAGATCGCGTTGGTTCCAATGTGTCCAAATCAAGTCCATGAATGCCAAGTTATCGTCAAATCACGTATAGAGGAATGGAAGAAAACTAAAGCCATGAAGAAATTTGAAAGAGAAGTTTCACGTGAGAAACAAAGTACAGTGGAGGAAGATAAGAATGAAAATGAGGAAATTATTGTGAGAAACGTTGGAGTCGAAAATGAGAAAGTTGAAAAGATTGAATTTGGGAGCAAAGGGGGAAGTGCGTGTAGAAGAGAAAATGAAAAGATTCCAAGTGAGGTTGTGGTTAAAAGATATGGTGGAGTTGAACATGCATAAATGAGAGTGTGATTTTGCATGAGAAAGCCATTGGAGTAATTGAAAATGAGAGTAAGAGCATTGAGAGTGAAGATGAGTGTGTTGAAAAACATGAGCATGAAAGAAAAGAATGTGAGGAGAAGGAAGTTTTGTTTTATACTAATCAATTTTTTTTGTCTATTCATTCTTTGAATTTGCAGGTTATTCCAAGGGACATTCAAGATTATTCAAACATCATTTCTTTTGAAATTCCAAAAGATGTGTCACTTGAAAGTATAAAGAACACATTTATTAACCTTCAAAGTACATTCACCTCATACTCAAGATCGAATGAACCTTATGAAAGGGAAGATTCAATGAACATAACCATGGAGAACATTAAGAGTCCAAAATCATTCATTCATGAATTTAATCATTTCCTTTTCTTTGATTCTAAGTTATCTACTTTTAACTTTGTTTTATTTTTCAGGTTGTTGATTCAAAACAAAAGACTTGAACATGTGAAGCATTTTGAGCAAAGAAAATGGTGTAAGATGAGAATAAAAAACTTTCCATTCAAACGAATATCAAAGTTGTTCCCTTATGTACCAAGCATCAATTTGAGGACAAATCGCCTTAAAGAAGGAGGAATGATGTGATCCTACCAACCACCAAGTTCAAACAAAACATGTTCACAACTTTAATGTTCTTCCAAGATGATTCTCAGGGAGTTCTTCCATATTTTATTATTTATTTACTCATTCATGCTTTATATGTGTTATAAGCATGTTTTTACATTCTAAACTAAGCTTGAATATTCATATATTGTCCTATCTTTCTTAAGTCCTTGTGACTTTTTATCGACTTATCAAGTATTTTATACTTGTGGCATCAACCCCTTCTTTTCACCTTGATACTTTTGGTTCCTAGTTCTTTATAACTAGTGGGTCAAAGTACTTTTAAACCACCCCTTAAAGAAGCAATATAAAGTCTGGGTCTCTGCTCTCTATAGCATTGGTTCATCTTTAAGCCTTCTTTAAGATACTATCCTCTCATCCATATCATTGTTTCGATAACCAAACCCATAGCCATATCCATCAACTTCCGCTTCCATCTCTTAATTATTAAACAGCCCACCTATTCACCCTTACGTTTACCGTCTTGACCTTTCTATTTTTGAGCTATTCATTTTGCAGGTTATTTTGCTTCCTTCCTAGATCCACAATCAAACGAGAAGGTAGAATTACCTTATATCAAAAGCTCTGATTACCGCTTGATTTAAGGCTAACCAGGATTCTTCAATAATGGAGAATTTGGCAACCTTCTTGTTTCCCGATCTAGGAGAGACACCAAATGCTACACTTTGAATTGTTAAGTAATCTGCAAAATTAAAAAAGAAATGATTAAAATGGAAATGTGAAATAAGAAATGGAAGAAAAATGGAAATGATAAGAAAGGAAATGGAAAGAAATGTATCAAAGTATGATGCGGAAGAGTTGAATAATTATCCTTCAAGTGTTGATGAATTCGGCCACCAAATAATGTTGCTGGACGTATGCCTTGTTAATGATTAAAGGATGATTGAAGGATGATTCAAGGATGAAGAAATGAAAATAGTAATAGAATGGTGATAGAGTTTGGCGTGAAGGTGATGAACTATGTTTAAGGATTGATGGTGATGGAAAGATGGTGATGGAAATAGTATCTTATAAAACTAAGAAGGAACCAATGTTATAAAGAACAAAGACCCGTTTCTTATAAGTTTTATAAGGGATGGTAGCAAGGAATTTGACCCACTAGTTATATGAACTAGGAACCAGAAGTATCAAGGAAGGGATTGACGCCACAAACTTTAGAAAAGCTTGCTTAATCGATATAGTTCTAAAAAGAACTTGAAGACAGAATAATGTCACAAGAGTTTTAATTTATCAAAGGGTTGAGTTCTATAAATGAATGCCAAAGCCTATTTATAGATTTGCATAGCCTTGGCCGAATAGATGCATGCTTTTTCGGAAAAGTACATAATTTAAATTGAAAATGTATGATGTTTGGATGAAAGGAAATGTCCTTGGTCGAATGGTCTTCTTATGGTTCATCTTGGCGCCAACTTTGAAGCAATGCCTTGCATTTGGCCGAATAGGGAGAAACCTCTTCACTTTGGTGCCCAATTCATCTACACGTATGGCACATGTGTGGGCTGGTCATGAGGCACTCACATGGTTGGTGTAGAATGCTTAAGGTGTTGATTAGAGTCAGCCCGTCGATTGAGGACCTCTTCGATTGTACAGGATCTAGAATGAAGTAAACAATTCCTCTGCAGCAAACTTACTTGGAAGTAAGGGTGATGGTGGGGTTGTATGATTAAGGTGATTAACGAAATGTATAAGAAAAGGATGAAGAAAGGATAAAGAAATAAAGAATTAAGATGCTGGAATTTTTAGAAAGGCAAAAATGAAAGATAAATACTTGGTGAAAATAATAATGGTGAAATACAAATCTGGAAATTTAGACAACAATAAGGAACAAGGAAGAACTTATACTAAAGAGTATAAACACGAACCTTATACGTTCAATGTTCAAGGACTTGGACCCGTTAGATAGTAATCTAAGAACCCGGAGTATCAGAAAATTAACACAACAAGATCAGACTTGAAATGTTAAGAAAATAGTTCTAAGAAGAACCAATTTGAGAGAAAACCTCACAATGTTTTAATTCATAAAATTCTGATTACAAATGAAATAACAAAGCTTATTTAAAGGTTTGAAAGTGTATTGGCTGATTGATAACAGCTTGTAATGTGCCAGCCTTGCTCCTTCCTAAAGACATGATTTAACACATAATTAATATGAAATAATAGGTGTTGTTTCGGTGGAAATGTAGGAGGCATGTATCATGGCCGAAATGCAATTGTTCTTCTTGAAGTTGATGCTTAAGTGGAATCACACAAGTTGCACATGGTGTGCTGGCACGCACATGGGTGTTGTTTTGTTCCAAATCACGCACATGTGATGTAAGGTAATTCTACATTCTCGTTTGATTGTGGATCTAGGAAGGAGGCAAAACAACTTGCACAAGTGAATGGCTCAAAACATAATGGATAAGGGTGGTAAGTGTATTGATTAGGTAGGCTATTTAATAAATGAGAGATGGAAGTGGAAGATGATTTAAATGGTTATGGTTATGGCAATGAAACAAAAGGATGGTTGTGATGATAGTATCTTGAAGAACGCTCAAAGAAGAACCAATGATATAGAGAGCAAAGACCCAATCTTTATATTGTTTCTTCAAGGGGTAGTGCTAAGTACTTTGACCCACTAGTTATATGAACTAGGAACCAGAAGTATCAAGATGAAAGAAGAGGGTTGATGCTACAAGTACAAATTATACTTGATAAGTCGATAAAAAGTCACCATGATTTAAAGGAAGAGAATAATCTCACTTTGATTAATAAAAATAGTCTGATTACAAATGATGAATGCTTTCCTATTTATAGGAAATGGAGGGCATGGTGGAATAGAGACATAATGGTTCGGCCAGCCCATGTATCTCCCTATAAAGACATAATTTAAATGCTAAAAGAGATGATGGTTCAGCCCTTGATGGAGGGAAATGATCCTTGGCCGAATAACACTTGTATCCCTTCAAATTGGCGCCAAATGGGAGAGGAGATTATGCTTGGCCGAATGGTTAAATGGCTTTTCATCTTGGTGCCTAAATGAGATCATATGCACGGCACATGGGGGCTGGTCATATGGAACCCACATGGGTGTTCTAGGGAGCCTTATGGTACAGCCTTGTGCATGGGATGATGGCTGGTCATGTTCTCTCTCTTGGGCGTGCATGTGTCTCCTCCAAGCTAGATTGAGTTATGGAGCTAGCTAGCAAACATGGGCTGTTTGTGAACAAGCTTCCTAGCTAAGTCCTTGTGAGCTACTTAACATTATTTTCAGCTTCATTCAGCTACCTCTGACATCACTTTTGGCAACTCAGCTCCAAATAGTCCAACTAGCTAAGTTTAGCTAGCCTTAAGCTCCTCCAGCTGAATCGAGCTTCCCTTAGTGTTCCATGAGCTGCCTTTTACTTTGTAAGCTATTTGTGAGCTGTATATGACGTCCAAATCATTCACCAAGCTACCTCAACATTCATTATGCTCCAATGTACGTACATGTGCAAGGAAACAAGGTAATTCCATGGTATTGAGCTAATATGAGCTAATTACCTTGCTGTCATGTTTGATTATGGTAATGTGAGCTATAGGCCTGTAAACGAACCGAACGTACACGAACGGAGGTATGTTCATGTTCGTTCATTTAAAAAATAAATGAACATAAATGAACAAAAAAAAATTTGTTCATGTTCGTTTATTAAGGAATATAACTTGTTCATGTTCGTTCATTTAATAAATAAACGAACATAAACGAACACGAATATAAACAAACACGAACATAAATGAACACGAACATAAACGGACATAAACATTGGAGACCCTACTTAGGGGTGTAAACGAGCCGAGTCGAGCTTGCGTATTGCTGAGCTCGACTCGAGCTCGAAAACTTTCAAAGTTAACTCGACTCGAAAACTCGCGAGCTTAAAATTATCAAGCTCTATTTGAACTCAAAATATAATATTGAAACTCGACTCGAACTCGAAAAGGCTCGAACTCAAAAAAATTTAAGAGCTCGATTAAAACTCGAGACTCGAGCTCGATTCAATCTCGATTCAATCTCGATTTTGAGCTCGATTCAAGCTCGACATTACCCCAAGCACAAAGATGCTTAAACATATTCTCCCCCATCTTCTTTTATATAAGTTACCAACCCCGAGCTGCTTGTTTGCTATTGATGTGGGATTGCATAACGTTCCTCCACTTTCTTTCTTCCTCTCTCCTTCAACAACAGTCGAGATGAACACAGATTGTGTTTCATGTGATTGCCGACCTTAATCCTTGGGATCAAACAAACATGTCCTTAGCTTCATGCTATGTAGAAGTTGAAAATTGGGAGATGAGAGAAGTAGGTTGGTTTATTGTTCACACCAACTCATACATCAAAAACCATTCTTTCTCGGCTGGCTAAACTTCCATATCCAGATGGCACACAAAATTTGTTTGATGAAACGCGTTAAAGAACTTCTCAACCTATGGAATAAGGCCTCACCATTATTGGGTTCTTGAGTTCAAAGTAAGCTGACTTGAGTTGCTGGTTGATCAGTATTTACTTGTAAATTCGAATACTCCATTATATATGAAAGAAAATAAGATTATTTGAGTAGAAGAAACGGTGTTTAATACTTAACATCCCTTCTGGAATCCATCACCTTTGGATTTGGTTTCAAAAGCAACCGGTTTCTGGGACTCTTCTTTGCTCATCGGATAACCAGCTGGTGGCGCAGTCATATAGGGTTTCAGCGCAGTGGATGTTGACGGTGTTGGGTATGCAGCTTATGGATCATTCTAAAAGAACTAAACCATGTTAATATTATTGAGTTTTCCAAATAAAATTGGGTTAATTATGGAGTTGGTCATCAAAATATCAGATTAATTAATATTTTTAAGATACTTACAAACTGGTCACCAAAATTGATTTAAGAAGATTGGTTAAACATAAATGAATGAACATAAACGAGCATAACCGAACAAACATAAACGAACGAACATAACTGAACGTTCACGAACGTAAATGAACGAACGAGACATATGTTCATGTTCGTTCATTTAATTAAACGAACACAAAATATTGTTCATGTTCGTTCATTTAATAAATAAACGCACATAAATGAACTTCCCGCCGCACGGTTCATGAACAGTTCGCTGAACGTTCAGTTTATTTACAGGCCTAGTGAGCTAAGTTTGAATGTCATGAGCTAATTATATCATCTCCTAATATGTGTAAGATTATGCATGAGGCTTAAGAGTTAATATGAATGCATATGAACTAACGAAATGCATTATAAGTATGCTGCCTTGATGTATATGTTATAATCATGCATAATATAATTATATAGCTATCCTAACATGCTTAAAATATTAAAATAACAATGTGTAAGATGTATTCATACTAAGTTATTCTTTAACTTCATAACTAATATCCTTAGCATGATATGTAATACAATAGTATATATTATAAGGTTATTATAAAGTAAATGCATTAAAAGGATGTTCAAGAGTACTCCCTTTATAGTTGAAAACGTGCTTGCATCATCCCCTTCTTTAGGACAATTTGTCCTCAAATCGAGTTTATTCTATCCTTGCATAGCTTCACGCCTCTTTGCTAAAAGAAAGTATCCTTTGAACGTTTATGTTCTTCCATTAGATACCCTTTTGTAAGATTTCCCTTTAGGCCTTTCTTTGGAATATGATTTACCAACAAGTACCTTTTGGGAATGATCTTTATCTAGGGATATCCCTTTTGGAAGTGACCTTTCACGTGATTTGTCCTGAAAAGTGAGGAGAGAAAAGGTTTCATATGAAGGGGTACTTACCTTTTGTAGATTAAAATCATTGGCGAAGAGTTGTGACTTTAATTCCCAAACATCACCACTTTTCGTAGGTGACCCTTCATTTTCCAGCATTGAACCATCATGTATTTCTATGAAGAAGTTTGGTTTCTTGTTTAGTTCCTCTTCATTTTTGGTCGGAGTTTTGTCTTTGCGCCATGCTTGTACACTCTTTCGCATATGCAATTGATCTTGTTGTACTTCTTTTGGCGTTAAAGGCATCAAGGTCACCTTGCGTCCATCATGCTTAAAAGTGTATTGATTGTGAAAACAATCATGAATGGCCCTTTTGTCATACTGCCATGGTCTCCCAAGTAAGATGTGGCTAGAATGCATAGGGACAATGTCAAAAAGCACCTCGTCCTTGTACCTACCAACTGAGAAAGGAATTAGAACCTGTTTGGTAACATTTAACTCACCTCCTTCATTGAGCCATTGGAGTTTATATGGAGTAGGATGTTTTGACGTTGCCAATCCAAGTTTTTCAACCATAAGACTGCTGGCTACGTTTGTGCAACTTCCTCCATCGATGATCATTGTGCAAATCGTATCCTTGACATGGCACCTTGTATGAAAGATATTGTTTCTCTGAATATCATCTTGGGATGTTTGTGATTGTAGGCACCTCTTTGAAACAAACATCTCACCATGATCTGCATTTTCTTCCATTTCTTCTTCTTGTATTGTTTCAGGTTCCTCGTCAAAAATCGGCTCATCAGAATCTAATACAATATCTCCATTGTCAAGCACCATCATGGTATTTCGGTTGGGACATTGACTAGCAATATGTCCTTTTCCAAAACACTTGAAACATTTGATGTCTCTTGATCTTTCAAAAGTGTTGGTTTGCTTTTCTTTACCCTTGCTAGATTCGCCCACTTGTGTAGTTTTAGGTACCTCTGTACGATCCTTTGTTTGGACTGGAGTTTTCTTTCGGAAAGTAATAGGTTATTGCTTCCATTTGGTGGCCGAATTTGGACTGCTCCTAGTGTAGGATTTCCTTTTGAGTTGTCTTTCAATTTTTATGGCCACATGCACCATTTCTTCAATCTCTACATAATGCTGAAGTTCAACAAGGTTAGCAATATCAATATTTAGGCCATATAAGAATCTTGCCATTGTTGCTTCTCTATCTTCATCCACATTGGCTCGGATCATGGCAATTTCCATTTCTTTGAAATAATCTTCAACGTTCTTGCTTCCTTGTTTCAAATTTTGTAATTTATGATAAAGATCTCGGTGATAGTGAGTAGGAACAAACCTTTTCCTTATAATGGCCTTCATTTCATCCCATGTTGTGATGGGGCATTCACCATTTCGTCTTCTTGAACTCACCAATTGGTCCCACCAAACTAAGGCATAGTCCACGAATTCCATAGTAGCAAGCCTAACCTTCTTTTGCTCTGTATAGTTTTGGCATTCAAAAATGTGTTCAATTTTGATTACCCAATCCAGATAGGCTTCTGGATCAGTTCGTCCTTGAAATGGAGGAATAGTCACTTTGATGTTGCTGAAGTTGTCATTTTGATTTCAATGAACATCTCTCCTTGCTACTGATGTTACTTCAGCATCTTCCTCTTCTAAGTCTTCTTCTATTCTAGGGCAGTTTACTCTCCGGTTGCCTAAAGATGCTTCTAATTGATCCACACAATCTTGCAAAGGCTCCAATTCTAATTTCAACAATCTTGCCATTTCGTGCATAATAGCTTGTGTCTGTAAGTTATGGGCTTCTCTTTCTGGGGATCGTCTTGAACTCCGAGACATGGTTAATGAAATAAGAAAAGAATAAGATGTGTAAAAGACCTTACCAGAATATACTCTCACAAAGCCTCACGAATCACTCCAAGAAAATTTGATGTCACTCAATCCGCTCGTGTTTGCACTCTAGGACTTTAATGGCTTTTACATGTCCTCTTCTGATCTTACACATGCTCCAGCCTTTTTCCTCTCAATTCTCTTGTCTCAAGTTCTAGAAAACTTTTACTCAAGACTATATCGAGTAAATTTTACTTGTTTGGCGTTGGCTGCAAATGGGTTAGTAGGAATGGAAAGCAAAATATAATTGAAAGGGTGGCTTAGAAACAATAGAAAGAAGAGAATAAAGGGGTTACTTACACAAGTCACTTTACAACCTTCTATCACCACAATCAAATTTAAAGGCTTACTTGAATGGCTTGGTGATAAGAATTGTTGATGAGTGCTTCCAACTTTTTTTTTTTTGAGTGCTTTCAATTTCTTCTTTTTGAGTGCTTCTTTTCTGATTTTTTCTTGCTTTCTTTAACTTTGCACTTCACTTTGCACTTCTTCTTTTTGTATTTTTGTTTTTGTTGCACATTGCTTCTTCGACCAAAGCTCTAATTACCGCTTGATGTAAGGTAATTCTACCTTCTCGTTTGATTGTGGATCTAGGAAGGAAGCAAAACAACCTACAGAAGTGAATGGCTCAAAACAGAATGGATAAGGGTGGTAAGTGTATGGTTTAATAGGTAGGCTATTTAATAAATGAGAGATGGAAGTGGAAGATGATTAAAATGGTTATGGTTATGGCGATGAAACAAAAGGATGGTTGTGAGGATAGTATCTTGAAGAACGCTCAAAGAAGAACCAATGCTATAGAGAGCAAAGACCCAATCTTTATATTGTTTCTTCAAGGGGAGGTGTTAAGTACTTTGACCCACTAGTTATATGAACTAGGAACCATAAACATCAAGATGAAAGAAGAGGGTTGATGCCACAAGTATAAATTATACTTGATAAGTCAATAAAAAGTCACCAGGACTTAAGGAAGAGAATAATCTCACTTTGATTAATAAAAATGGTCTGATTACAAATGATGAATGTTTTCCTATTTATAGGAAATGGAGGGCATGGCCGAATAGAGACATAATGGTTTGGCTAGCCCATGTATCTCCCTATAAAGACATAATTTAAATGCTAAAAGAGATGATGGTTCGGCCCTTGATGGAGGGAAATGATCCTTGGCCAAATAACACTTGTATCCCTTCAAATTGGCGCCAAATGGGAGAGGAGATGATGCTTGGCCGAATGGTTAAATGGCTTTTCATCTTGGCGCCTAAATGAGATCATATGCACGGTACATGGGGTCTGGTCATATGGCACGCACATGGGTGTTCTAGGGAGCCTTGTGGTGTAGCCTTGTGCATGGGATGATGGCTGGTCATGTTCTCTCTCTTGGGCGTGCATGTGTCTCCTCCAAGCTAGCTTGAGTTGTGGAGCTAGCTAGCAAACATGGGCTATTTGTGAACAAGCTTCCTAGCTAAGTCCTTGTGAGCTCCTTAACATTATGTTCATCTACAGTCAGCTACCTTTGACATCACTTTTGGCAACTCAGCTCCAAATAGTCCAACTAGCTAAGTTTAGCTAGCCTTAAGCTCCTCCAGCTGAATCGAGCTTCCTTTAGTGTTCCATGAGCTGCCTTTTACTTTGTAAGCTGTTTGTGAGCTGCATATGACGTCCAAATCATTCACCAAGCTACCTCAACGTTCATTATGCTCCAATGTACCTACATCAAGTAAACAAGGTAATTCCATGGTATTGATCTAATATGAGCTAATTACCTTGCTGCCATGTTTGATTATGGTAATGTGAGCTAAGTTTGAATGTCATGAGCTAATTATATCATCTCCTAATATGTGTAAGGTAAGGTATAAAGCCTAAGAGCTAATATGAATGCAAATGAACTAATGAAATGCATTATAAGTATGCTGCCTTGATGTATATGTTATAATCATGCATAATATAATTATATAGCTATCCTAACATGCTTAACATATTAAAATAACAATGTCTAAGATGTATTCATACTAAGTTATTCTTTAACTTCATAACTAATATCCTTAGCATGATATGTAATATAATAGTAAATATTAT